AAAAAAAAAATTTTTCTGCCTCTTGATCTGCTTTGAAGTTCTAATGGATCACTTCTACACACCAAATGTAAAAAGCAAAAACAAGCAACCCAACAAGAGACTATGAATGAAGGCGCAAACAAAATGCGGGCCACTTACAACCCAAAATTCAACCATAGTTTCGATTCGTTTATCATCTCTCAGAAGTTTCAATGCTTCTTCTTCTCTAGATTATTTTTGCAAATTACACGTAATTTGAAATTTGAATTTTCAATTTCAATTGTGCCTGTAATTCAGAAACTAAATTACAAATTAAAATTATACTGTAATTCGTAATTGAGGTTTTCAATTAAATTACACATATAATCTGGAAATTCAATTATCAATTAAATTACTCAGTAATTTATAATTGAGTGTAATCTAATTACAAATGTAATCATTATTGCACAGCTCTGACTACAATCAATCAAATTAAAAGTTGAAATGAATAATTTTCGAGAATGCACTAAATTATAGTTTAAAATTTTATTCTGAAATAATATTATTGTATTTAATTGATTTTGCTTGAAGTAAACAAACTCAAAAAAAAAAATCTAATTTTGCATATTATATATATAGTAAAGTAGTAAATTAAGCATAAAGTCAGTTCCAAAAACAATATTTAACGTGTATTAATGTTGTTATTAATAATATGTCTAGAAAGCAAAAACTTGAGAAATCAGTCTTTTTAAAAACAGATTTTAGTTATAACTATATCTATAACACTTTTAAGCGCTCTAGCTCAGTGGAAAGCTCACTAGTTGCTTTGTTAAACGTTTTTCTTCAATTGTCAAAGTATTTCCATTCGCTTATTCCTTGTGATTTTCGTTAAAAGCCCGCATTGAAGACTCATTACATAGGATGGCGAACCCACCAACTGTACTTCAGTTAATTTCAGTTTATTTGATCCATTATAGCTCATGCATGTTTTTTAGTTACTGAGGCAACAGCAGCTATATATTTGTAACAAGCATCTGTTAATAAGATTCTGTAACTTATGGTTGAAAATATTACAAGACACTTTTTTAATTCATATTCTAAAATTATTCACAAAAAAAAAATTCTGTGGCATCTTTTGAAACCTCATACAATGATGGACATCCACTCTTTTAACTGAATTCGTTTAAGAAGGTTAACAAAATTCTAATTAAAGAACTAAATTTTCTAACATATACTGTATGCAACGTGGTGTTTATTGATTCTACAGAATGTAAGTTTACTACGAACCCTCTTTTCCATCCACCTTTGTTTTCCATAAAGATACCTACAGTGATTGTTCTAATATGTAGGTTCTAAAATTTTATTTTATGATATCAATTTAGTCGATTTTCTAATAAAGAAATATATTTTTGGGATTAGGTAAAAAAATTTAAGTCCTACAAGATTAAGATGTAGTTAATGTTACTCATGATTAATTTGAACCTTTTTGCTACAACCTGAACGTCGAAGTCGAGGTTAAAGTAGAAGAAGTCCCATAAAAGTTGTATCTTATGGCTGATACTTACAGTTCAAAGTTATATATTAATTATTTATGTATCTAATATGGTCAAAGATTACCGATAATGAATATAGAACTATATTGAACTTATTGAACTAAATATGTTATATATATATTGATATATACATATTATATATTGACATATATATATATTGAATATTGAACTAAATTTTATATATATATGTTATATATTCGTGAACAAAAATGTTGAAGCACTAAAATGAGAACAAACCAAAAATTATCTATCCATTTATTTTTTTTTGTTCTGTACTTCATTAGGAATTTTACAAATTCATTTAAAATTTGTGAAGAGAAGTAAGATTTAATTTTCATTACACGCTATACTTGCAACATCTGTTGCAAGTAACAAGCTTTTAAAAATTTATTTTAAAGATATCCTTGTAAAAGTACTTGCATCTTAGCTCATTTCATTGTAATTAGTGAACTATGATATTTTATTTTAATATGATTTTAAAAATGCCCATGAAGGTATTGCTGAATTTCATAATTTAATATAATTTTTGTTATATATTAAAAATGTGCTTACATAAATGTACAGTATCTCTTTTTTGTCATGTATTAAGGTATTCAAATATCTGATAATTTTTCTATTAAATAACTATAATTTCATTATAGAGCAAATAATACGTAATAGTATGTAATAATAAATAAGTATATTATAATTTTTGACCTAATAGTGACAGTTTCAAATAGTTTTTATAGGTTCCAGTGCCATTCTTCAATCTCGACGATCAAATGCCGTTCGCAACTACTCAAAAACATATTACAAGCAAATTTTTACAGTAGTTTTTATGTATAACTCATATATATATATTTCCAAAATATGTGGTTGGTAAAAATTGCTACATTATAAAGCTATCCAGCTCGCTCTTAGCTTAGTAGCTATGATTAAGCTAATACTCCTGCATTTGTTTTAGTATCTCTGTTATTAAATAAACTTTCATGTTTAAAATACAGAAGTGACATTTTATGTTATTTATCGATAACTGTTTACAGACATAGTATGACTTGATTAAAATTGGAAGAGTCCATCCCAGAAGGTAAACACTGATTGCACTATTCATAGAATGAAGTCTTAAATATTCATAAAAGTTTTGGAAATATCTGCATAATGTAGTCTCTAATATGATTTTTTTTAACGGCTGATTGATCGAAATCCTTCTTCATTATTAGTGTCAAAAAGTAATACATTAAATGAAGGAAATATTTCATTTACTTTCATCTAATGCTTCTGTGATCATAAAATTATAAGTTTTACATCGTTTAAAAACATCATTGTTGATACTTTAATATCATATTTAATTTCTTTGTATATATTGAATGTATGTCAATAAAAATGCAATTCGATGAATATTTTGTAAGTATTATGCGTTTTTTTAAGCATTGATTGAAGAAAAGCAATTTGCATATTTACATCATTTTAATATATGTGTCAGATTATTGTATCTGTTAGATGTGTATAAAATTTATCTAAATAGCACTTAATTAAAAACTAATAATTAAATTATACAAATTTGATGTGATAATATAACATTTTATTGCGTTACATTGACATATTACAAGATTTTATTGTCATTTACATTCGTATGAAATTAAGTCAATAAATTAAGTAAACACCTAAATGAGAGATATTAAATTATATTGTATCTCTAATGTTATTAGTAGTAATTAGATTAATTTATATAAGCTCCAGCTATATATAAATATCAATAGTTGCTGTTACATAAATAAATAAATATTTGAATTAAAATAATACTAATATTTCAAATAACTCATTAAGTTAATTGCTAATAATATTTGTACTAATGTTTTGTTTGCTAAATAAGTACCTATATATGTATATTTCTGCAGAGTAAGTTACTATTCGGTACTAGCAAAATTAAGTGTAAAGTTTTTGTGGAAAATTAAAATTAATTTTTTATGCACACAGTATAAAAAGTGTAACACATAGCGTATGAGTAACGTTATTCTTTTCAATTTTTTCCCTCGCCACTATGAGTAGTTTTGACTATAATTGGTATGCGCAGCGTATGAGTAACATTTTTATTAATATTTTCATTATTGTAGTAAAGTTATACTTCCATAACAGCAAAACAAATTATGTCTAAATTACGAATATAATCGAATTGTTGAACCAAATTAAATGCTGTGTTTAACATTTTAATATTGTCCCCAACTCTATGTGGAAATGAAATTGGCTTCCAACAAACCGAAATGATTGTTAATTGTTTTGACTTGGGAGAGAAATGACAAATTTTACAGTATTTTACGCACAATCAATTTCAATATAAATTGAACAAAGCACAACCCACATATGTGTGTTCATATGTAAATATGTATATAACAACAATAACTGAAGGCAAATATTATACATGAACTGAATTAACTTGACTTTTGAGTTTGTAAATATTGTGCAGAACATGCCTACATCCGTATGGCAATCCGATTGTACCCATAAAATTAACTGCGAAGTATTTCATACTTTCTCGATTCAAAAGGAATGTAACTTTTTGGATACCGTTTCAGTGTACACAGATGGTTTCAAAGTAACGGGTATATATCAATTTGCCTGCCATGCTTTTATGTTTGTACCAAAATGTAAGTGAATAACTGAAACACTACGTGTTTGTTACCTTTTTAGAATTGGCAACATATGCTGTACCATGAACTCGATGTGTGGTAAAAGCTACGGGAGTGAATGTGCTTTGATTGAATATTTTATTGATTACGGAAATTAGAGCAAATTCTTGTTTTTACTAGTATTGTATTTTGGAACACCTTTAGGAATATTTTCCATTTCATATGTAGGTGTATTTTTAGAAACGTTCAACAGTAACAACTGTCATTTTACAATTTAAATTTTACAAATACCATTTCTATGCAGGAGCACACAGCCATGATGTAGAATGCTTACAAGCAGATTGCTTGAGACTTTAGGAGGTATCTTCATGATTTCACGTTAATCAATTGAACCATTGTTGTGCTTAATTAAAATGCTAAACATGACTTTCCTTTAAAGGGGTGGAATTTTGATTCAAAATTAGACAAATTTTGATAAATTGCCTGAGAAAAGGGTTACGTTGCAGTGTAAAATTTACTTGACGTGCTTGCTGTGTTGAATGTTAAGTAATGAGTGTTTTCTTATTTTTTTTTTTTACTTCTTAGTACATTAAAGCTTTTCGTGTTTTATAGAAATTATGATTCAATTTAATTAAAACCCAGCACTTACAATTTCTTATTAATTACTGACTTACATGCAAGCTCAATAGCAAAAGTGTTTTTACTTCAGATAGTCATTTTGGGTGGTTTAGTCAATGACCTTTGTTATCACTTAAAAAATGAAATCAACTTTTGTTAAAATTTGCATTTAATGACCTTTCAAGCGCAAAGGTCATTAAATGCAAAAAATTATAAATGATTGCAGCGCATAATGAAAAATTATAAACTTTTACCATGAAAAAAAAAAATGAAGGTGAAAAATATAATCATTTTTTTCATTTGCGGTTTTTTACGCGAATAATGCTATTTGTGACAAAAAATATGCATATTTTTTTTTTTTAATCTTCATGATACTTCACTGCAGTAAACTTTTACTTCATTTGACATCATTGCGGCATTTGGAGCATGTATTTTCGGTTTATTTTAACAAAACAATAAAAAAAAAGATAGTTCTAAATACTGCAATGTATCTGATTCTTAGAAAATATCAATATTTTAAAGAATTTGCATTTTGTTTGTCGTCAAACTTTGCCAAATTTTATTTTCACATACACATATAGGAAATTCTTTACATACTCGTAAATATTGTACAGTACGGATATAAGTGCTTATAGCAATGCTGCTTTCACAGCAACGGGATATCACTGCAGTGATTTGGGCTTTCATCTAAACTATTTACCAGTGTGTATGGATAAAATTCTTTAGGGATTCACTGCAGTAAAAACAAACTAAAAATATTTAAAATGTTTTCCAATCGCAACGAAGCGATGTAGTCATACATTTAATATCTTGGGGTGATATTTGCTATGATCTAAATTTATTTCTTTGCATCAATGGTTTGAACTCCATTGAATACGATACAAAGCAATAAGATAGAGGAAAATTGTAAAATAGTAAAGAAAATAATTTTTGGTGATATGTTGTGTTTTGAGGTCACAAAGTATGTGGTTTTAGTTTGCAGATTTCTGGTTATCTGGCTCTTCAGCATTACGTAGTTGGTTAAATAGTAGAAAACCAAAAATGTGATTGTGGTTGCAGTTGAAGTAGAAGCGATCTTTACTATTTTTAATGTAATAACGCTATTGTGTTCTATGAATTTATGGATAAATAAAATTTTTCCTTTAATATTGTACTATAAATATTTTTTAAAGAGAAGATATTGACAAGATATTGTAACAAATTATTAATTAGAAATTGGTGATTGATTTATATTGGCTAAAAAATCGTATCCCTTGTTGATGACGGCTACAGATGGAAACCTCTGCAATGAAATAATTTTATTATTTGAAGCAATTTTCGAATCAAAATCCTTGTTGATATTCGTAGTACTCACTGATGCAATTAAATCTTAGAGTAACATGTAAACGAGAACTATGGATTAATAAAAATTACTTAACTTATTAGTACTAAGTACCTAACTTAACTATTTAATATATATATTCATTCATAAAATGAAAACGAAAATTCATGATTTTCGTTTTTTTATTAAATAGGTAAGAATGCCTACAGCATTTTAGTACCATCGTTCGTAGTCCAATGTGTTAAACGTGCATTAACAATAAAATATTCTATTGTTGACATTTATATACCTTATTAGGAATGGTTTCCGTTAACACATTAACCTGGAGTTAATTTTAACCGTTTAAGCATAACATATTTCTCTTAACATCTCTTATGTATCATCTATTCTCTCATTGGTTTCTGTTTTGTCTTTTTTTACAAAATTGAGACTGCATACCGCATCATAATATTGTTGTCGCAGAACTGATGAGTTCAACATTCCATGACTACAAACTTCCCATTTTTGACTTGTGTCTACTTCGATAAAATAGGATTCCAGCAGACTATCCAACTGGGATTATTTCCATCTCTTTCTGCCCATCATATTCATCCCTTGCGAATTTTCGTAAGCTTTGTGTTTGTGCCCTACGTTATAAGATATGATAGCGTTCATTTGATCACTGGTAGATATAAGGTATGAAGAGGTATATCGATCACGCATTAGCGTTCCGGAAAACTTGTGAAGTTTGTGAAGTTTAAATAGTGTCCGCATGGCGTCTGGATAGGATTTTTATTTGGTTGAATATATATTTACATATGGAATTATTAATTTGTTTCTTCGGGATATGTGTTTACAAAGCTTGAACAATTTTCTTTTTAGACACAACATTTATTTTACATATTTATCCATTAATTTGACAAATAAGGGGAGGCACTCAGTAATTTTCAAATCTTTGTCATCTACGTTATTTAAGCCACTTTTGGGTGAGACCTTCAAAATTTCTAAGTTTCACATCAATTTTTTTTCTCTAATTAGAAATTAACACTAAGTAGTTAATTTTTCTTATTTACGCAACACGAAAGGAAAGTGAATAATAAAGTTTATTAAAAAATATAATTTTCTTTATATTTTTTCAGTCTTTAGCTGTTTTTTCTGTTTGGTACTTATAAATTCAAGTCATTTAAAATATCTATCTACCATTTCTTGTCGTTTTAGAAAAATTTAGTGTCAAGTTATTCAGAAAGTTATGTGACCTTAACGACTCTTTATTTATTATTTCAAAAGTTGCTTCTGTGTATATATTGTTTCGTACGTTTAGTGTTTCTGATATAATTTTTCTGCCATTAATCCTTCACATCCCAACCAAAGCGACAAATTGTCTACTGTTTTGCGGATTTTAGTGAAAATAGTGATACATATGTTTAAGATATATGCAGTTCGTAAGCAAATTGCTTTGGTCATTCGTATATAAATTTAGTTATACATGAGTATAAGAAAATAAATATTTTCTTAATTTGAATCCATTTAATTTTATTGCTTATTATTTTATTTGACCTTATACTGGTCGTTTACTTTCCTTAGTTGATTTTAAACTCGAACACAAACAAAGGTAAATGTTAAGTTCTAACATGGTTATATTTCCAAACCAATTATTTGCGTTGAATATTAGATATTGTAAAATAAAATAAAAAGTCTATAGTTTTTACATCATACATTGATTTAATGTATAATAAGGATAATATTAAAATCTTTTCATTTAAGACCAGCAATTTGAAAACTGTCTTTTGTTCACAATTTGCTGAGCTTCTGTCTTTAGTATTTGATCAGCCAATTTTTCTACGCTTAACCTTTGGATTTAAGCCAAATTGGAATTCGTGAAATATTCACATATAATATTTTTTTTGTACTTTCTTCTACTTGGATTTTAATATTCTTTTAAATCCTTAAAAAAAATATTAAATTTCATGCACGTAGAAAATGTATGAGAAGTGTGTGTAGGTTTGCTTGCACGTGCCTGTCAATCCTTACATATATATAAAAAGCCATTGCGTATTGAGTGTAGGTTAAACATGAGAAAAACCCAGTTACTAAGACTTCATTTGCCTGTTTTACAATGGAAAATGGAAAAAAATTGAAACCACTCGGAGTAAAAAAGTATCTACAGTTGTATATTTTCACTTGCACTTTGCGGTATTCCAAATACGTACGCTATAAGAGTGGAAACCTGCCAACAGAATTTATTGAAGCCAAGAGGATGGAATAAATGAAATATGCGTTGGCATCAATGTGGGTTATATCCATGTGTAAGTACAAGATTCCCATAGTTTTGCATGTGCATTAGTTACTCAAGTAAAAGAAGTTGCAATTTTCTGCGAATGTGAATGTTTATTGGTTGTGTCATGTGCACTTAAGAGCGTAAGTTGGGAATTAACGGAAAATATATTTGATTCACGATTTTAAAATATAATTCTGAAAAATACTCTTAAGTGCTAAAAGGAATTGCTTTAAAACTATTCAAGCTTATGGTAATATCAACGAAGTAGTGCAATTTATTATAAAGCAATAAAATCAGTTACATATAATATTTCAAAATATATTGGTGAAATGTATTTTTTAAATATGTAAAATATTTTTTAAAAATTAAAAAAAGAAATTCAAATAAAGTGGAAAAATATGTTTGCAATAAACAGAAAAAAACCCATTTAAAATAGAGAAATTATTAACTACAACACATATTTTATCAAATTATTTGATATTATCGGATTCATATATATTAGCTGAATTATTTAGATTTTTAAAGAATTCAAAACATTTTTCTCATATTTTAAAAAAATTTTTTCTTTTACAAAAGAACTTTCTCCCATATGTATCGAATGGAAACGTAAATGACAACTAAATTAGAAGGGTTCGAACATTAATGAAAACAACAACAAAAACTTGATTATTTTATCGAAATTTGGCTGACCATACAACGCTGTTTCAAGTATTGCCATGTACTCATCATCAGCGATTTTAGGAAATAATTAAATTTTTATTTAAATAATTTATAGTCCGTATATAATTTGGTTTGCAAGTGCGAGGCTTAGAATTCGTGTCT